TTGTTTGAATAATGATTGGTGAAGTCAGAAAGAGCAGTATGCTTGTAACTTTCTCCTCATTTGTGAGCAGTGTCTTGTATTGTGTTATACTGGGTAAGAATATAGATTACATTAATTTTGGAGCCAAGGGTCATATTCCGCAATGTGGCATGCTGACACTGGTACAACCCTACAGCTACTTTCTCTCTTTAGAAGCTAAGCAGTGCTTAAAGGCTTTTAATCATGTTGGAAGAGCTCAATATATTCAGTGGCTTTGGAAAATTCAGCAAAGATCACAAAGTTCTGTCTCCTAGATAGGAATAATTGTAGATTCTATGTTTATAAAAATGTTCAGCACCGTATTGTTTTGGAGAAGTTCTCTTATTGACAGCAATTATTTACGAAGATATGAGAACATACACATTACTGCTCAACAATGAAAATTTAGCATATAGCAATACAGGTAGTCCTTGAGTTATGACCGCAATTAAACCCAAAATTTCTGTTGCTAAGTGAAACATTTATTAAGTGTGTTTGCCCCATTTTACAACTTTTCTTGCCACAGCTAAGTGAATCATTGCAGTTGTTAGTAACACGGTTGTTAAGTGAATCTGGCTTCCCCATTGACTTTGCTTGTCAGGTCACAAAAGGGAATCACAAGACCTCAATGCACTGCAAGGGTCATAAATATGAGCCAGTTGCCAAGCGTCTGAATTTTGATCACGTGACCATGGGGATGCTGCAACAGTCATGTGAAAAATGGTCATAAATCAATTTTTCAGTGCCATTGTAACTTTGGTCACAAAATGAACCGTTGTTAAGTCGACTACCTGTACTAATACGCATATTGGACTGTTCAAGGGAATTGATTCCATCACTGTGATGTGATCCCTGGGGATCCTGTTTCGTCATTCAACTGACCCAGCCTTTTTATTTTTAAGCCAGGAATTGTTGCCCTGTATGACTGCGTTTTCAAAAGACCAACCGGCTATGATGCAAAGCTCCATCGATGTGACAGAGAACACACAAAAAGCAGAGGACTTCATATTAATGACGAGGTGATTGTCAAGGAGTCTCAGGGTGATGAAAATCACTACTCCTTTCTGCTTACTCATGATAATGGCCAGGTTCTGGCTGCTGCCAATTACTGCATTCTACAAGCATGCAATGGAGTACTGTAATAATTATTAGTTTGAAGCTAGGATCTTATGCAAATTTAGTTAAGATAAGAACCCCTAGGCCAGGGGTAGGCAACCTCGGCTCTTTTATGACTCGTGGACTTCAACTCCCAGAATTCCTGAGTCAGCACAGCATCCTGAGTCAGCACAGCATTTGGAAACAGTGCTATACGTTTTGGGGAATAAATGTGGGTAACATTAGTATCTACTGTATATTAAATCTAAATCATAGTATTTTGCACTTAAAGTAGACTGAAGTAAAGGGATGTTTCTCCCCAAGCCGTTAGTATGATACAAACAGAATTAAGATGTTGGGCTCATTAATTAAAATAGATCATAATTTAGCAAATACTTGCCTCCATCCCTGAAATATATGGAATTGAAATAGGCAAGCTATTATGTCTTTCCCTCAGGTTCTATAAGCTTTACGGGGAATAATATTGCTGATGGAATGCTAGAAGTCAGTAGTGTATATTTAAAATAAATCTTCTGAAATGCTACACATACTTGTTATTCTCGATAACAATTGCATTTTGCAGAAAAAAATGACAATCCTTCCCTGAGGAAGTACTTAGTAAAATAAATCTCAAAGTGCTTATTCATATTAGACAATCTATAAAAAGTATGAGGCATTTTAAAGAGAAGTTCCTGTAGGGTGGAAGAAATTATACCCCAATAGCATTTTTCTTTTGGAAAGGATTGCTGGGGACTCTATTTTTAATGGATAAAGCTGAAGAGTGTAAAGTTGTGAGAGTTTCAGGAAACCAGA